AAGCCACCAAGTCCCGTTCACACCTGGCTTTCGCCCAGGATTTATTCTCGGAGGCTCGTCGCAAATCATTTCTAACGCCAAACTCAGCCATATTTTTCTACTTTATCTCGGATCCTCCATCTTCCTCGTCAGACGGCTTTCTTTACATCAACATACCCATGTCGGTTTCCTGCAGTTAATGACAAATTTGATACTCTCCGCTCCGCGTACTACGCGCTTTTTTTTCTCAGATTTCAGCAAACTGTCACGTCCCCGCGTGAAATTTTTCAGCTCTCTTGTTGAAGAGCACGCGAGAGTATTGTAAATCATACAAAAATTCCAAAGCGATACTGATACAAAGGGTTAAAAAACTTTTTAAATTTTTTGACAAAATACACGGATAGTGCTTTCATCGGACTCGATGTTTCGGCGTTGCGTTGCCCAGCGTCGTTTCCGAGGGTGCACGAGAAAGAGAGAGGGTGCGATACGCGATCGCGGCTGTCGCACATCGCGTTGAATATCCCAGCACAAAGAGCGAGCGGCTGCGGAACGGTGACGCCAGGCTGGAACACGGGGGCTGGGAAACCGACCGGGAGAGTCGTGGGGAGCGAGAGCGCGCACGTTCCCCGTTACATTGCGTTACAAAGAGAGCAACCCGTCCGGCGAAATCCCTGTCAACGTTAATGCGGGTTCCGCGGTGCGTTAAAATTCCTCGACGGCGAAACAATATTGGCCGCGCGCGCTGTTTCGCGATCCACTCCTCGTCCCCGCTCCCGCCATGGCGGGCGAATTGTCGCCAGAGCTTTTTTTTTTTATTTACCTCCGTTATTTTCCTTTATTTGCGACCGGCCATTCATCGGTGCTGCATAGAGTGCTTTTTTTACTCTTGATGCGTGCGATCGAACGCCGATCGGGATTGAAACGTGAACGTCCGGCCGATCGCAGAAGGGGCTTGAACACGTCAAGTGCTATCATTTTGATCAAGTACGGTCGGTTGATTCATTGAAAAGTCCCTCTCTTACAAGGCGGACAACATTGTCTCCGTCTAGCCTTTCCGACACACTTCGCTCCGTGCGAGTTTCCCCGACGCGAGACACATGCGACACGTTTAGCCGCGTTCGTCTGGTTCCACTATTCCTCAACCGCGCGCGCTTCCACTTCCGGCTTATATCCCGGGCATACAGAAGATATTAGGAATAACCGTGGCGCAATATCGAAACGTTGGACTGGTATGACGTCAAAGGAGCAGTCCTGCGAACGAACGCTCGTCCACCGGTGCGGCGAGACGCGAGTTAATGATATTGATACGCATGTTACTTAAGCATCAATAACTCGACCGTAGTAACAATGCGCCGCGCGCGCGTTACGCAGTCTATCGGCCCGTAACAGAAAATTGATTCCGCGGTCGTGCATTGGCGAACGTATGCACAGCGATATCAAGTCAATACCCGGCTCGGAAGCTAATACCCTGAGTACATACGGCCGTTACTCCTGGACGAGGGTGCTTGAATTATACCTGCTTCAGGGATGATCCATTCGCAGCTGGACCGTTAGTCCTACCGCGCGCCGATCGTATCCCTGAATTATCTGGATTCCCGTGCGTATGCCCTCCCATTGTCTGACGCCGATCTACAGACTATACTGATTGCTTGATGGTTTCTTCTTATAATGATTGACAGCTTAATCAACAATTGGAATCTAACGAGCTATTTAGCTATTGTGCTTAGATATCATAAATAATGGTTAATCCAAAACTTGACTAAAATTGTTCTCACATCCTGAGCTCAAATATCTATAAATTGAGAGGAGGTTCTGCCTCGAAAATTGAAAAATAGGAGGTTTTTACAAATTCTTTTTTCAAAAAACGAGTGAAGATATCAATATATACCGTTATTTTAAATGTAAAAAGTATTATTTTAAAAAATTGAAACTCTACCCAGATTTTGGCAAGAAATAATTTGTTGAAAAATCTCCAAAATTAATATTCTTCCGAGAACACTAAATAAAAAAAAAAAAGAAAGAGAAGATAAATTTCGCTCTAGCTTAATGAGTGATTAATGTGAGATCAACTCTAAGTGCGAATTAAAAATTCATTCGGATAAACAACACGCGATATTTCTATGCGATCATGAAGATGATATCTCGACGATCTTTTTCGTCCTAGTTTAGCTGTATACTATGTATATGTATTGGAAATATCAATCGACCAAACGTCCTCCGATGCCGAATTTTGGTTCGACGGCTGCTATTTTCCATCATATCATGCGCGTAATATAATACGGACACACTTCTCGCTTATCGTTTGACAGGCCTCGCGAAATCAAGAGAGAAAAGTAAATAGAATTGTAGATGAGACACAACCATGACGGCTAAGCTTTTAGCTTTTAGACAATACGTAAAAGTTTTATTTAGCCAACATTGCACGAATCGCGATCAATGTTGGTTACCGGCTGGAAATAACTCCGGTATTCGTTAAACCACAGCTCACTACCAGCCGTGACGTCAGTCTTGAACAATGTTCTGCATTCTAGCCATGATTATGCTATACATACTATGTTCAATATCGAGCTTTTTTTCTTTCCTATGCTTTCTCTTCATTCGCAACATGAAATTCCTCCTGGATTTTCTCCCTGACTTTAATGACTAAATCTTTCTATCGAACATTTATCACAAGCAAACAATCAATTCAATTTAACTATTGATCCTATTTCATTCTATAATCAACAAATAAAATCTCCGATTAAATATAATGTTCTGAGAACCAAAATTCTACGGTCTCACGATCACACGAGAAGGGGTAAATGAAACAATTAAAGTTTGTAGACAAAGAGAAACAGATTCTCGAAGATATCAGAAGAATGACGAAGTATGATTTTCGAAGGAAAAATACTGTTCATTATTAATAGACCTAATACATCGAAGAGGCGTAAAATCCCCTTCTTAGAATATTAGATGTTGTATTAATCCGCCTAGACGAGATGATAAATTTGCCGGAGCAACGTAGGCGCAAAGGACCGATAGCGTCAAGCGCAAAGGACCCTCCGGCCGTCTTATTAGTGAAACTTGAAAACTGCAAAGTCGGCTCGTAACAGTCTAGTCCTGCGTGAGAGGCTGTGTACCCGACGAAAGCGACGATGTCGTCGGCTAAGGACGTTCTGTAAAGTTGCCTGATTTATGAGCACCGGGGAGTTGGCCGACGAGGTAACGCGAAGGATTCCGACGTAAGTTTAAGCGCCCCTACGAACCCCCTCCCTCTTTCTCTCTCTCTCACCCTCGCCATCACGCCTTCCTTAGTCGAACGAATAGTTGGCGCCGAAGTTTCCAGTCGGCGTTATGCCGACGTGCACGAGCGGCATGCACCTGCGAGGCTTCATGCGAGAACGAGCCTTCCGAATCTTGATTAATGTAATCGGGATAACTGCATCTTCCCCGGGGAGATTCCGCCGAGCGGGAAATCGTATACATCCGTATCCCCGTTCCGCCAACCCTCGAACGAAACCTTGCTTACATCAACAAGCGCAACTAGCAGCACCTTGTACCACATTAGCGAGAAATGCGCATCGCGCAAATATTTCGGATCAACTGTGTATTCTACAAATTATCTAATAACTCGGGGAAAAGAATCTCTATTTTTCAATTTACAACAAATTTTGTCTGCAAATTGAAGAATGAAGGGTCTAATGATATTTTCACGGCTGGATCTTTAAGTGCGCGATTAAAGTAAACATACTAATTCGCCGGACATTCTAGAACATTGTCATTGTTTTAATTATTAAACATGAATATATTTAAACTTTCAACGTAGAACATGTATGTGTGTGTGTGTATGTGTGTGTGTATATAATGTTTAAAGCTTAAATATTCATATTTAAAGATCAAAAGAATGGATCTAGGATTAGATATATATCCGAGTATCATTACTTTCACTTGAAATACAATCTTCTAATGTTGGGTATCATTAAATAAGAATCATCTAACAAGGAAAGAAGCAGAACTGTCCTTCATCGATTTTGATAAACTTTGGATTTGTTGTAAAGCAGTAAGAAACACTAAAGCCATATTTTTTTTATCTAACCCTTATTTCGATGAAGGATTGCCAATGAAAAGAAATCTCATTTTTCGAGAATATTACAGAAACTATGAGGTATATGAACAAATAGTTTATAACAAAATTTTATGGTATTTTATATCCTTCGCAATTCTGTGTGCTCAGATTTTCCAACAGTATCAAATTGTTTAACTCATTCCCACCTATTATTTTCGTGAATTTTGAAACTTTTATATGTATGTATGTGTGTATGTGTGTGTGTGTGTGTGAACCAAGATTTTTAAAATAATTTTAGACTGAATTCAACCATATATAACAATCTTGACTTTCGAAAGTGCATATTTGACAAATGTGATGTAAGTATATGCTATATGCCTCACGTCATGCAATACGTTTAGCCCAGCTCTTACGCAATACCTGACTGCGGCTTATTCCACATCATATGCGATTCTGCAAGGCAAATAAACGATAATAAATCTCAAATAATATCGAGTCTCGCTATAAAAAGCATTCAAAAATTTCTTTCTGAATTTATTATATAAATAAATAGCCTTTCGCCACAATTAGAGATAAAGCGAGAAGATAAGTACTTAATATAATAAAAAAGATGATTATTAAACCACTTTGAACGGGAAAAACTGCTACAAGCATACGTACAAATACTATCATTAGACTGTTGATAAATATATATCTTTAATAAGAAGGAAAAAAATACAATAGGAAGGGATAGGAATACATTATCATACACTTGTCTTACCGATAACGAGACAATTATCGAGAGCATAGAGAGGACCTGTTCTTTGTGATACATAATCTTTTCTCTTTATCTTTTTCGAAATAAACAAGATAGTACAATCAAAAAAGTGATTGTAAGAATTACTCAACGTATATTTTTTTCCTAGGAATTCTCAAGAGTATAAAAGATGCTGTATTTTGACAGTAAGGCCAAATACAGTTAAGAAATAGTATGGGAAATATTCTGTGTGCAGTATTCAATATAAGAGTAATTAGTAATGTGTGTGGGGAGACAGTGGCACCGTATAAAAGGATTACTATGTGACTCTGCAAGGTGCATATTATTTCCTTTTTTCAAAATTAAAATTTCAAAATGTTATTTTTGAAATTTATCATCGGCCATTTACTTCGCAGTATCGGATACAATGTTGCTTTTACCTTTAAACGTCAAGATAAACAATACAAAATGTATGGGACAAATATTTTGTTGCCGCTTTATAATGCATCCCAAAACACATAAAAATCGGTGAGTGACAGTTCAGTCTCTTTGTAATAACAAACAGCCGCAAATTTAATGCTAAACGTGTGATAACGTACAATTTTGGGTATCATATTTTGCATGTCGCACTTACGCACGATAACGTACAATTTTACAATGTGTGCTGTAAAGCCTGATCTAAAATGCTCTTTGCTTCCTGTTTCTCGTTTTCTGTCTTTTCTGGCTAAAGGTTTAAATTCTGGCTAAAGGAAGAAATAAAGAAAAAAGAAGCACAGAGCGCATTGTAAATTTGGCCTAACAAACCACAGTTCTTTCTCTGCCGCAACATAATTCGATTCATCAAAATGACTTTTCCCAAAAAATTTATTCGCGCTGATATTGCCGAGGCGCTAATTTGTCAAATTTTCGTTTAGTCAGATGCACTAGTATGAATGCCGAATTATACGAACGATAGTCACGTAGGGAAACGCTGCAACGCGCGCACGCCTTTTCATTCCTATCGACAACATTGAAAGAGGCTCGTTTGCAAGATCGAAAATCAACAGTACGTGCGTATGTTACGGGAATACGTTGTTTCAGAGCTCGTTCCGTTTTCACAGCTGTCGCGCGAAAATTGATCAGTGCATTAATCCCGGTATTAGTGCCAATTCGGCGCCGCTAATTGGTCGGCTGGAAATTCGAGTCCGGCTTAAATTTTAAACTGGATACGCGTTTTGGTTTCCGTCGCGCGCCGCCACTCGCGACTTTTAAAGTTGAGAGCACGGCATGGAAAAAATGTTACGCTTCCGGCGATGTACTGCCGGCCAAATACGTCCTCTTTAGTGTTTGTCCGTGTGGCGAATCTCGCGCGATTTATTACCGGCTCCGATTTTCATTGCGATATCTCCGCGACCGATTACATCGGGAATTGTGTCAGCGCGGCACGTAAACGAATTCGAGAAAGTTTTGGCGGGCTAAAGTGACGCGCAATTAACAATTAAACGCAGGTCCAGCAAACCCACACCGGATTCTTTAACCGTAGGGCCAGCAGCCATTTCCACCCGTCGGTCCTTAATAAATTATTTTCAAGAAATTAACTTAAAGTGTCGAGCGACACAAAAGTTTACGAAGCGGGCGGCGACTTGCGCTTGAGAGAAATTAGAGAATCCCATTTCTCGCTGTCAGAAAAAGCTCCGTCGTTTGCAGGTGTAAGTGAAATCGTGTAAATGAAGCTAACTAGGATAAGAAGGAACGCGCCAACTTCTTCCGTAGCGTGATAACGTCTAATCTGCCTTTCGATTAATCGTCGCTCGATAAAACTGCTTTAAATCCAACATAAAATACTATATGTATATTTGAGACACCGCGTACATACAGGATGCATTTAAATTGAGTCTTTTAAATATATGAATATAGCAAAATAAAAAAAAAATGTTTTTAGATAAAAGTTGTAGGCTTTCAAGAACGTATGATAATGCTATTTGCTTGATCTTACGGTGGGTGCGCCAAGATCTTAAGTTCGCGGAAAAGTTTGTAGGAAATTTACGTTAAAAAGAGCCACACTATTCTATTTAAGAAATTCAAGTTGGCCTTGAACAGACCTTGACACGTCCACCACAAACTCAAAGCCAATAACATTATTATACGTTTCCCTTGAAACTGTATAATTTCTGTCTGAAACATTTTTGTTTTGACTAATAATGGAATATCATTATTTAATAGTAATAACTTAATGATAGTCACTATAAGCCATTACTTTTGTTTTACTATACTATATTCTTCACACACATATTTATAGAAATTCCAATTTAAATATCTCACTTTATATGCATATCTTTTAGTTATATATGGGTCATATATATAATATTTAACCGCAGATAGCTCTCCGATACTTCGCTACTGATTTATCGTAGCGACGTCCTAAAATCACGAGGCGAATAAAGGACTATTACCGTGCCACAATTGAGCGCGATCAAAATTCTGTATTGGAACGCGCGCGCGCGCGCACCCACTTCCGGGTGGATTTTTGAGGCGGTTTCCGTGCCGGAGACCCCGCCGAAAATGGATTCCCGTAGCGCGGCCGGCCGCGAATTACCATTCCGGAAATGAATATTTTGTCATTAACTTTGCGCGGTTCCATTGTAGTAATTGCGAACACTTCCGGCCAGCGGGTGCCAAACCGCACAGTGCTACAATCAATTACGACGGCGTCATGCCACACTCCATATATTATGCAGCACATCGAATGTTCTGTCAAATAATACCTGCACGTTTGCAATCGGGCTCCGTGCCACTCGCGAGCATACAGCTTGTTTAAAGCGTTATTCACACTAACGATACCTCCACAAAGAACGGTCTTTCAGAAAGCTTCCTTAAAAGTTCCTCAATTGTTCCGTACAATTTTCCCGACGTGATTTCGCACGCTCATTAAACGTCAATCATTTGCGCGTGTTCATTTCTGATAAAATAATCGATTGTATTTTATTTTATCGTACTTATATGTTAGCAACATTGAATATACATATGTAACAAATGTGTGAATAATATGAATAACGTATGTGCTGTAGAAAAGCATGAAATTTCTTGATCCTACCATAATGCCAATCTTGCTTTTAATCAAAATTTCAGTATATCATACAGTGATGTCATAGTGGTCGTAAAACTTCGTCAACGTATAGGCGCAAATGTGAATTAACCTTGAGCATACGCTCGCGCGTATACACGCAGGTAGAGCGAGAGGGTATACGGCACGTCAACGCGGCTGCGGCGCGCGCCTCGATAAATTGGCAGCGTTAAATTTAATGTCATTCATTCCAGCGACGGCGACGTCGGCTTCGCGCGCGCGCGCACACACATTTTACACGCGTGTGAAATATCCGTTTCGCGACGAAACCAGGGCCGATCCTGAGCTCTACGATGCCCTTGCGCGAGTCGCCTGATATGTTAGATTCATACTGCGTGTTAAGTACAGCGCAATTAAACGACTAATTTTTTTTTTGCACTAATATATTTCCCTATAAATTTCCACAAATCTTCAACAAATCCATACAATTCCGGAGCACAGCTGGAAAATATTTGCACGCGTTGTCCAATCTGTGGCAACGTTTAACTTCACTGCAGAGATAAAACCTTGCGATGTATAATTCAGTCTTCAAATTTATGGTTATGATAACTTGACAATCTGAACGGTTGTTGAGATACAGTAAAGTACTCACGTTTTTGAAAAATTTAAATTTTTTCCCGATGCAATTTGCATCCTGCACTCGTTGGATATAGGTGGAATCGGCCCTGGAATCACAGCGGCCGTGCGCGACGTTAAACTGCTCACGCGTCCGCAATAAAACTTCCCCTCAAACCCTCGCGCGTCGAGGTCGCTTGCACCCCAAATTCGCGGTAATGCGCCGCCGTTTTTGAAGCCGACACTTCGACGAAAACAGCATCAACATGAAAAGGTACGTTGCAGAAACGTGGATGGCCCGTTTGACTGCATATTCGCTGTCGACAGCGCGATATTATGACATTAATTAGAGGCGACCATTTTGCATCGATCAATTCCGGATATTTGTATATCGATATTTTAGCAGTCAAATAGCGCCGCTTTGCAGCAGCGACTAAAATGACAGAGATATAAACATGTTCTGTAAATTTTTTTGCGTTTACCCGTGAGGAGAAAAGTATCGATGATTTATACGTAATCAAGCAGAACAAGTGCGCGAGAATTTTCTAATGAGATTGTTACTTATTTAACCACATCCGCGCCGATGAAGATAGTCTCGCACCAAATTATTCATTTAAGGGATTAAAAGATGGAAATTACCAATTAATGAGAAAGGGCCGTGCGCGACATACGTTGCATAAATAATCGCGTTAAATTATGAAACGGTACGAGCACCATTAATCCTTTACCGCACGATATGTGATATATATCACCACATAATATTCGTTGCACTGGCGAAAAGTGTCAAATAAACGTCTGGAAATTATTTATGAGAATTGTTTCAAATATTAATGTCATATGTACTCTCGTAATATTCACATATCATTATTTAATGGTAATAACTTAATGATGGTCATTATAAGCTTAAGGTAACGCGGCTAAACGTATAATGCAAAGTGACTCGTTAGCTCTTAATAATTTTTAATGTAAATTAATGTCCACGTCAATATTTTTTATTCATTTCCATATTTCACTTTCCTCCTCCACCCCTCGCCCTCCTGTACGTTTCAGAAAATTACTCGCGCAATAAATGTTCCTCGAATGAGACAATGTTTAAAAACTGTAATGAGCGATATCATATGAATACACGGAAAAAATATTGTAGTAGAAATTACAATTTTAGTACTTCGGAAATAGACTGACACTATGATGAAAATTATAATAAAACATAGTAAAAGCGATCATGAACATAGTAAAAATTACTATAAATGTAGTAAGAATTATCATGTTTATTGTCATTTTTACCATGTTTTATTATAATTTTCGTAATAGCCAGTCTATTCCCGGACTATTAAAATCGTATTGTAATTTTTACTATCATATTCTCTCCGTGTATATGCATACACACACACACACACACACACACACACACACACACACACACACATACATATATATATACTTTATATTCATTTATTTAACCGTTATTAACCGTTTACCAAAAGTATCTTCGTTCAACGTTTTTCCAGTATATATGTAAATTTTACGGTATAACGGTCGATATTTAATACCGTCATTTAAAATTTGGATGCAGGGCTTGTCGTGACGGCAGTGATAAACGACAGTGGTATCTCGTGTCATGATATGGCAACACGCATAAAAAAAAGAAAGAAAAAAAAAGAAATGTTCGCCTGCCCTCGATAAATGACATTTAACCGAGAAATAAATCCCAAAGAGCGATTAACCGTGCGCAAAGCCGCGATAATGTTTTTCCCCGTCCTGCGCGGGAACGAATCCTTCTTCCTCGCAGTTAAACAAGTCCTCTGCCCCGATTTTTACTTAAAACGCAGTCCTGGCGCGTTTTTAGGGACGCACGTGAACCCGAAGCGCG